GGTATCCTGGAGCTTCCCGAGGTGCATGGGAGGCAGCACCGTGGATCCCACCTGTCCTGGGCAGAGGCCCTCATTAAAGAGCTGCAGACCGTGGGGACACTGGCCAGGCCTGCTGACACGGGGACACCTGTGCATGGCTGACATCAGAGCTGGGATGCAATGGCTGATGGGAACTTACCAGGCTGGGAAAGGAGGAAGGCAAGGAGGCCTCCTGGGCCCAGGGAAGCCACAGCTGTGGGAAAGCTGCCGGTGCCTTCTGGGAAGGGCACATTGCTCCCTGTGTCTGCAGTCGAGTGTGTTTTGGGACCAAGGGTGGGAAAGGAAGTTCAAGGCCAAATTCTCAGACACCTGGTTTGAGAATGCATTGACCTTCATCCCAAAAGTGGCACAGGGCCCCGGAAAAGCTTTAGCAGCCAAGTGCCAGGATTTGATTGGTTATTTGGAATTCCATTGCAGCCGCGGGTTGGGGGGCACCCAAAGGACCAGCCCCGGGACCCTGGAGGGATTTGAGGACCATCTTTAAGAAAGCTGACTTTGAAGATAGAAGCAAAGAGATTCATGGTGAAGAGGTAGAGGAGGGAGTAGGAGGAGAGGGATCTGTAGCTTGGTGGTGCACTGGACTTTGGTTCAGTCGGTTGAGATAAGGCATGCAAGAGAACAAGTGTGTTTATCCTGGGAAGGGTTACGCTCATTTATCACAAGTCGGCTTGGAGCTGTCGAGAATGGAACCATCCCAGGAAAAGCGAAATTCGGGGCTTCCGTGCGAAGTGGGGATTGAGCAAGCAGGCTGAGGCCTCCCCAGCAGGTGGGAAGTGGGGGCCGTGCCACAGCGGCTGTGACCAGGGCTGGGAGTGTAACTTGAGGGTCACGAGGCTGTGACCCTCAGGCTGCAGTACCAGCTCAGACGTCCACATGTCCTCCCCGCAGGGACACCGGTGCTTGTCCGAGGAACCGGGAAAGGTCTTAGGACAAACACCTGTGCCAACACCAGCTGGCCTGGTGCCACCTGCCCAGCGGTGAGGGCCGGGGACCACGGAGAGGACCATCCTCGGGGAAAGAACTCCTCCACCTCCCAGGGTGGAAATGAGTGGGACAGAGAAGGTAATTAGTGTTTGTGGAACAGAGGATCTGGCCTATTTCTCGCTCTGAATTTAATCAACTCAATGCCTGAAAGGTTGGGAAACCAGAAGAAGTGGGGAGGAGGTTGCTCCGAATGCAGGCTGCCTCTCTGGAGACCCAGCCGTGCGGGATGCAGGCAGGGCAGGTGTGGTCCGAGCTGCTGCTCAGGGCTCGGGGGTGGGGCGAGAACGGGTGAATGACCCTGAAGGGAGGTGGGGTGGCCGAGGAGCGGAGGCCCAGGAGCCGGCCCGAGGTGGGCTCTCAGGCATGGAAGACGTCATCTCCAGAAACCCACGTGGTGCCTGCCCTGTGATGGCTGTCATCAATCCCAAGCACATCCCCTCACCTGGAGGGCTTAGGGAGGCACAGATCAGGGGGTGGGGCTGGGGCTGGAGAAGAGCCAGTCCATACCAGTTCCCAGGGACCACGAAGGAGGGGACAGGACACGAGCGTGGAGGGGCGGGTTAACTCGGGCGCTACCTGGTGACATCTCAGGGCGATAGGAAAAACGTGGTATACGCAGGGTCCATTTCAGTGGAGGCTTTGGGAGTCTGCTGGGGATCTTGGAACACAGTCCCCCAGATGAAGCTCCGATGGGCTGGGAATCGCACAGCTGGCTCCTCATTCACAATTTGAGAAGGGCTGGGGGGTGTGGCGCCTCTTGCTCCATTCAGGGCAGAGTGGGAAGCAGAGCAGGGAAAAAGGAGTTTGAAAGGTCATTTGAGCCGGCGCCACAGCTCACTAGGCTAATCCTCCGCCTTGCGGCGCCGGCACACCGGGTTCTAGTCCCTGTTGGGGCACCGGATTCTGTCCCAGTTGCCCCTCTTCCAGGCCAGCTCTCTGCTGTGGCCAGGGAGTGCAGTGGAGGATGGCCCAAGTGCTTGGGCCCTGCACCCCATGGGAGACCAGGAGAAGCACCTGGCTCCTGGCTTCAGATCAGTGTGGTGCGCTGGCCGCAGCGCGCCAGCCGTGGCGGCCATTGGAGGGTGAACCAACGGCAAAGGAAGACCTTTCTCTCTGTCTCTCTCTCTCACTGTCTACTCTGCCTGTCAAAAAAAAAAAAATGCTATAAGGCTAATTGTGGGTTCAGAAAAGTCGATAAAACAGGAAAAGATGACAGCAATTAGAATACATGAATTCTTCTGATTCATAAGTGTGGTATCAAATTTATATATATACATATATATACACACATATATGTGTGTGTGTGATTTATTTATTTGAAAACCAGCGAGTGAGAGAGAGACATCTTCCATCTGCTGGTTCACTCCCCAAATGGCCACAACAGCCAGGTCTGGGCCAGTGTCGCTCCCCCTCTTCGTGGAGGAACGACACAGGACCCTGAGTTGTTCTTTTGTCTGCTCGGCCCTCCCCGGGTTTGCTGCTGGTTCTTCCCGGGTTGGCTACCGACCCTTCCACCTCCGTGGAAGGGCGGTTCCCCCTGCCACTTTCCCCACTTCCGCGGGGGAGAGGCACACCGCCGGCCAGCTCTCTCCGGGGCTGCACAGGTGTTCCTTCAGATAGATGTTCCTGGTGCATGTTGTCTCTCTCCTCCTTTATAGTCCTCTTCCACCAATCCCAACTCTGCTACCTACACGCCGAGTACGCTGCTCTCCTCCAATCAGGAGCAGCTCCTGCTGTTTATTGGTTGAACTGGAGGCAGCTGTGTAGAAGCTGTTTGCTTCTCTCCCAGCGCCATATTGTGGGAGAGCAGATGCATAGAATAAGTCTTAATTCCAGTAACAGTCTAGTCCGAGTTGCTCCCAGTTGCTCCCCACAGGCCAGGACCCAGGAGCTCCATCCAGGTCTCCAAGGTGGGTAGAAGGAACCCAAGCACTTGAGCCATCTTCCATTGCCTTCCCAGGCACACTAGGAAGGAGCTGAATTGGAAGCAGAGCAGCCAGGACTAGAACTGGCACTCCGGCATGGGATGTCAGCATTGCAAGCAAGGGCTTAACCCAGTGTGCCACAGTGCTGGTCCCAATATATATTTTACTTGATAGTACAGCTCAAACAGAACGCATCTGAGGGCTGCACACAGAGCATCCATTTGCAGTCTGAAGTAGACAATGGGCAGAGCTGCTCAGTTTCACAGGGTGTCAATGTCCCCTGGGCCACAGAAGCCAGAGATATGGGAGTGGCTGCCACTCACATGGTGTGCGGAGGTGAGCAGTAGACTGTCCACGCGCGGCCATGACAGGTGCACCAAGAACCCAGGACTGGGCAGAAATGAGAACTTTCAGGGGGTGCTCAGGAGAGCCAGTGAGGACACTGGACACCCCCTGCCACCCATCCCTTGGCATTTCAGAAGTCCCCCCAAAGCCACATGCAACCCCTGGAGGAGTGGGCAGGAACTGACCCTGCACCGTGTGTGGAAAACAGGTTCAAGGCAGGAATCAGGCTCACATGTGGGGACTGCTTTGTATCACTTTGTCCAGCACTGCTTGCAACCAACAGGCTGGGATCTACAGTATCTCCCAGGGCGCTGAGAAGACCTGTGCCATCGGGAAAACCAAACCAGGTATTCCTGGCCGTGAGGAAAGAGTGTGAAGATGACAACCACGTTAGAAACACACACTCCACTGAGTGCTGAAGCGTACGCTGCCAGCAAGGCAGGCTCACTGGGGAAATAACCAAACCCTCAGTAACAGTCTGAAGTATTTATCCCTCCAGCGTCATTAGCGGGACCAGTGAGGTCAGGGCTCAGGTTCCACCAGTGCCCTCTGGGAAGCTGCGTGATGGCAGCTGGGAAGGGGAGGATGAGAGAGACCGCGTCTCCTCTGCACTGGCTAATGACGCCTGTGCCTGAGCACCTGTTTTCCAAGAGGGCACTGCCCGCGCTTGTCAAGGCTGCGGGAGGAGTGACCTGCCAGCAGACAAAGTGTTTAGGCAGGAACCAGGGCTACCAACAGCACAATGTTTCCTCTTTGCTATGGAACCCCAATAGAGTAGGGCATTTGCAGTATTTTCCAGCGAGTGTTTTAAGAGAAAGGATGTGTAGGGAAACCATCAGGCTTCTTCTGAGCCTACAGGAAGAATTGGGGCCAACAGCTCATTGGAAAACAGCAAAATGTTGGACTCGGGCGTCACCATAATAGCAAGCATTTGGCCTAGGGGAGAGGATGCTTGCTTGAGCCCAGAAGTTCGGAGTGCTTGGGTTGAATCCTTGCTCCGACTCCAGCTGCAGATCCTGAGAGGTAGTGGTGATGGCTCAAGTTGAGAGGGCCCTCGCCACTTAACAGGGGAGTCCTGGACTGTGTTTCCAGATCCTAGCTTTGGCCCTGGCCCAGCCCCAGCCCCAGCCCCAGCCCCAGCCCCAGGTGTGGCAGGCATTTGGGGCAGTGAGCCACAAGATGGGAACTCTGCCTCTCTCCTGCTTTCTAAATAAAAATTTTAGAAGGAATACAAATCACAATGACAGAGCTGGGACTATAGGTGAGCCCTTAAGTAAGTTTGGAATTAAGTTTATTTTGGTGTGAAAAATGTTGAAATCCATGCCTACAAAGGTTCTTCAAAAAGTTTGTGGAAAATGAGCACACTAAAAAAACTATGCATGGATTTCAACATGTTTGCTCCAAAATAAACATCTTCTTTAAAAAAAAAAAAGATTTATTTGTTTATCTGAAAGGCAGAGCCACAGACAGACAGAGGCAGAGGCAGAGAGAGAGAGAGGTGTTCCATCTGCTGGTTCACTCCCCAGGTGGCCAGAGCTGCACTAATCAGGAGCCAGGAGCCTTCTCCAGTGGGTTCCAGGGCCCAAGAACTTGGGCCATCTTCCACTGCTTTCCCAGGCCATAGCAGAGAGCTGGATCGGAAGTGGAGCAGCCAGAACTGGAACTGGTGCCCATATGGGATTCTGGCACTGCAGGTGGTGGCTTTACCTGCTATGCCACATAAACTTAACTTTTAAGTCCATTTTCCACATACTTTTAGTCGTCCTATCGTGTATGTGTTGACTAACAGGGGCTGTTTCTCCTTTTCTGTCCAGGGTACTCTTTAAACCTTAGAATTTATTTTCCATGATTGCAAAAGGACCCCAGTGGCTGTGCAGCTCCTCCAACAAAGCCAGGTCTTCACCGGGAGGTCTGAAGGTGAGGGATTCCCATGGGTGATTCTTGGTGACTCACAACAATGGCTGCAGAGAGAGATAAGGGTGACAAACAAGCCCCCGACACAGTGTTACAGCCAAGTCACAGTTTGTCCAACCCCATTTAAAACTTGTCACGGCTTGCGACTCCCCATAGAACAAAACCCCCCACTTCTTGCCCTGGCACCCAGCCCTGCTGGCCAGCCCTTGCACTCCATCTCTCCCTCCTCGCTTGACCTTCCCTGCCCCCCCACCCTGCCCCCGCCTCGCTCACTGCCCTGCTGCCACCCTGACCCACCTGCAGGTCACGGGATCGAACCCTTCCCGACAAAGCTGAGGTCGTTCTCCCTGCACTTTTGCTCCTCTGGAAATCCAGTAACAGCTCAAATTTTGTGGCTCAGCTTAATGGTCACCTTGTCAATAAATACCCACTGAAATGACAGAGGACGGCTGTTCCCCACTCTCTTCGTCCAGCTCTGACCGCTTCCTTTGCTGACCTGTTGTGAGCCATGCAGAGTTTTGCACGTTGTGAGCACAGAATATGTCCAGGAGGCCTGGAAACAGAAGGCGGAGTGGCTTGGGTTCAACATGGAGCCTGGCGCACAGGTCTGAGAGCCAGGGTGGATGGAGGCAAGTCCAGGGGGGTTCGCCAGCCCCTGCCTTCTCTGTGACTTGCAGTAGAGCCCAGCGCTGTCGTTGCACAGGGAGACGACATCTGGCCCCCAGGGAAGCCTGCATGGGAGCCCACCTGGCAGGAAGAGGCCTTTTACACCGCAGGCCCAGGGCCTTTGAGGAACCAGAATTCCCAGTGCGGGGGGCATCCCCATGGTAGCAGCCACCGCCTGGCTCCGAGCATCCTGGAGAAGACTCGGTTCTCGGGAATTTGGAAGGTCCGGCTAAGCCTTTGTGGGCATCTCAGAGCTGGGGAGACAGGAAACGAGCAGAGAGAACACGGCTACGCACAGGAGACTGGTGAAGCAGTGGCTGAGTCTCACAGGATGCCGGTTGCTGTTACATGTGCCATCTTGCTGTGGGCTGTGCTCAAGCGTTCCCAGGTAGGTTTCCTGTCATTTTTAGGGGAAATTTCTACAGGGTTCTATCACCCAAAGGTTGGCGTCGCTTGTACAGCCTCTGCACAGCCTCCCCTCTCTGCCCCTTGGAACCCAGCCTGCACCTGCTCTCTTTATCCTCCTCTCCCTGTTCCCATGACGCGTCACGCCTCTCCTCACGCCTCTCCCATGCACCCACGCTGCTCCCTGTGTGGACACTAGGGTTTCCTAGGCTACAGCCTCAGGCCTGTTTGCTTTCACTGTTTTCTTGGGGAGCTCATGCTCGAGATTTCAATCACATGTTTTTATGTTGATGACTCCTCAGGGGACACCTCTGGTCTCGGCCACTCACCTTCATCCTGACCTCCCAGGGGTACTGACAGGCGACTGCCACCACGAAGTCATCAGGTTCCAACTCCAGCCTCCCCAGGCAGGTCCCTTCTGCGATGCCCGTTTCTTCATGTGCATTTGTTTTGGTAAGATTTACTTGTTTGAAAGATAAAGTGACAGGAAGACAGTGAGACGGAGAAATCTTTGTTTGCTGGTTCACTCCCCAAAAGGGCTGCACCAGGGTTGGGCCAGGCTGAAGCTGAGAGCCAGGAACTCCATGCTGACTTCTCACAAGGGTACATGGGTGGCCAGGGGCCCCCGTGTGTGGGTCTTCCTCCATTTCCTTCCCATGGCTATCAACAGGGAGCTGGACTGGAAACAGAGCAGCTGGAACTGGAACTGGCACTCTGCTGTGGGATGGCAGGTTCACAAGTGGTGGCTTAGCTCACTGGGCCTCAGCCCCAGCCCCTCGATCCATTCTTCACCCTGCCTCTGATTTTGTGACCCTCAAGAGGTCACTGTCAGTGTCTTTGTCTCCTGCTCACCTTATGTCGATTCCCACCAATTCTGAGGATCTTTCCTACTCCATCTCTCGGCTTCTTTCCTCCCATTAGGACTCTTTGAGTTAGGAGAGCCAAACTCCAGCTGTCCCAGGCTCAAGCACAGCACTGAATGGATTGGCTTAGGCATCTGAGAAGTGGGGTCGAGCCCCTTGTACGATGTTGGGAAGAATGGCCTGTCTCTGCCTCTTTGGCCTGGTTGTGTTTGCACTCTTAGGCGAGCTCTTGCCCTGCAGTGTCAGATGTGGAAGGTGGAAGCTGTATGCCCCTCGTTCGAGTCCTCATTGTCCTCTTCACTCCTATTCACTCTACCCTCAAAACTGAGGTGCACCGCCTGCTGTTTGCTAAGTCATGGAGCTCCTGAGCCTGACCTTCAGTCACAGCCAGTCTTCATGTTTAGCAAGAAGGGCCTCAGCAGGGCCGGTGTTGTGGCACAGTGGGTTAAGCCGCTGCTCACACCATGGCCATCCCATATAAGTTCTGGTTCAATTCCTGGCTGCCCCACTTCCAATCCATCTCCCTGCTGATGTGCCTGAGAAAGCAGCAGAGGATGGCCCAAGTGCTAGGACCCCTGCACCCATGTGAGAGACCCAGATGGAGTTCTAGGCTCCTGGCTTCAGCCTGGCCCAGTCTCGGCTCCTACAGCTATTTGGGAAGTGAACCAGTGGATGGAAGATCTCTCTCTCTCTTTGTTAACACTGCCTTTCAAATATATAAGCTTTTATTTTAAAAATGTCTCAGACAGGAAAGAGAAGAGACTTTTCTGCACCACACCACTTTTCAAACAAATCTGAGTGTATGGGATGTTCAATTGATAATATTCGTTAGAATGCAAAACTTGTTTTTCTATGTAATGGCAGGAAATTTGTGGATAATCCTATTACCAGCTTGCTCTGTTCACTGTCTTTGGAAGAATAATTTGAATAAAGGAGTCTAGGAAAACTGCTAAGACTTCAAGAAATACTGCAAATTGTGATAATAACCTTCAAAGATCAACTTGTGCCTTGGATTGGTTGATTTTCTTAAATGTTTTGTCCTGGGAATGATATTGAAATTGCCACCTCTACGTGTCTGAAACCATATACACCTTGCAAATATTTTGGGTTTTGTGAGCCATCTGGCCTGCATCATATCTGTTCAACTCGGCCCTTGTCTCACCAAAGCAGCCAGTCATCAAATCAGCATGGCTGGGTCCCAATACAATTTTATTTATGAACATTGAAAATTGAATTCCATATAATTTTCCTATTTTTAAATGTTGAGGTGGATTCGTTCTGAGAGAAGGAGTGTGGTGGGGGCAAGAGCTGCAGAGTCACCACACAGACCCTGGGAGCCAGGTGAAAGCAGGCCAGAGGTGAGCAGCCTGCAGACTCATTTATTTCAGTTGGTTCAGCAGCTTATATAGCCAAGGCAGCCAATCCAGTCAAGGGGCGGTCTATGCCCTAACCAATCACAGCCTGTTGCCAGGCAGTTTCTGAAGCCATCCAATCACAGCCTGTTGTCAGTCAGGCTCTGTTGTCATGTGGTTTCCGAAGCCATCCAATCGCAGCCTGTTGCCAGGCAGTTTCCGTTGCCAGCGGCCATCTTGGCATGGCCTTCTCATTCCACCACAATGAAATATTCTTCTTTTGATTTTTTTCCAAACATTTAAAAATATTAAGACCATTCTAATATTGGCACTGAGAGTTTTATCTTAAACTCTCTTCACCCAGATGTCCATGTGGCCAAGTCCCTTACCTCCTTCAAGCCTGACTTCACATTGAGCCATCTCAGTGATGCCTAACCTGACCCCTGAGCTAGAACTGCAACTTGCATCAGCTCCCACTGCCATCTCTCCCTTGTGATTTTCCCATCAGACCTAGCACCTTCTAAAATAGCAGTTTGTTTATTTACTATTGTGTTGTCTGTCTTCCCTTGACAGATGGTGACTTCCCCCAGGCAGGGATTGCCCCGCACAAGTTCACAGATGCCTCTGGAGCTCCTTAAAGACTGCGTGGCATTCAGCCAACTCTGGAACATGCTGCTGAATGGGCCAACCGGTAAGTCGCAGGCCCAGCAATGCCCAGATCAGCCCTGACATCAGAGTGCAGGTCACGTGACAGTTACATACATAGAGGCCGTGGTCTTCGGAAAGGGGATTGTCTAAGATTCAGTTCCCATTGGATACTTCATTCAGGGTGGGCCAAAGGACCTTCAAATGCAGAGGGGAAAAATGGATTTTGAATTTAAAAAATTGAAATTTTTAATGAACCTCACACACTTTTATTTTAAGATTTATTTTATTTATTTAGGAAATGCAGAGTTAAAGAGTGGGGGAGAGGGAGAGAGATCTTCCATCCATTGGTTCAAGCCAGGAGCTTCCTCCGGGTCTCCCACATAAGTGCAGGGGCCCAAGCCCTTGGGCCATCTTCAACTGCTTTCCCAAGCCACAGCAGAGAGCTGGATCAGAAGAGGAGCAGCTGGGACACATACTGGTGCCCATATGGGATGCTGGTGCCACAGGCGGATGCTCAACCTTTTACAGCACAGTTGTTTTCATTAGAGGCAATTCCAGAAACCAGTGGCAAGAATATTAGCATGGACAAAAGGGGTCTCTTGGCTTCGGTGTTGCCGAATAACCAGCCTCAAGTGGCAGTGGCTGGGAGGAAAGCTTTATTTACTGGAACACGTCAAGGCGACGGGGAAGGGAGAGCACCCTCGAGAAGCTGGCTTGCTGAGGAGCAGTTGGCCTGGCCTTTCAGAGCAGGGCTTCTCAGCGGACCCGCACCCAGAAGGGAGGAAGGACTCTCCTGCTGCTCAGGCAGCATACTTTCCATACACCGTGACTCAGGCTGATTTCATGTTGCTTTTCTGCACTGACCGGTGGTCTGGCCTCTGAGCAGTGTTGCAAAATAAGCTCCCTGGAGCAGCCCTACAAGCTCAAGCAAGTCAGCTGTTCCCTTCCCTCATACTGCTAATTGCATTATCTGCAATTGCACGCATGTTTTTTTCCTCCCTTAGTTTCCCTTCATTGATGGTTTTTTTTTTATTTTCCACTAATATTTCAATACTTACACAGCTAGTATGTGCCTGAGTATAGCTTCATCTTTGACCAGATTTTGTTGGAAGCAAACCACTTGTGAACTCATTTTCTTGATTCATTCCCTAAGTAAGTATACAGTGGCCTTATAATTCGCTTAACACTTTCTAACTCTAGATTATAAGTATTTATTCACACACATATGTTGGTTATTCTGCTTAAACTTCCCGAAAACAGAGTTTACTCATTCCTGTGTCCCATCGATGCGAACATGGTGTCGAGTTAATATCTTGAAATAAAATGAACCATCCAGGGTTGGCTTACCCCCGAGAACTTCAGCATCTCAGCGTAGCTGTCATGAAGCCCTTCTTGATCAGAGCCCTTGCTGGTCCTCAAGGCTTCCGCCCAGCCCCCGTAAGCTGCATCCTCCCCCAGCCAGCTGTCACTCATTGCTTGCCCTTACCCATCTACTGCCCTCAAAGGGAGTTCCTGTTTTGCCAGCAAGGTGAACTCCTCACCATTTTCAAGCTGTGGGTCACACTCAGGTCATCTGCTTAATGTTGGTTTCCCTCATTAGACTTTGTAAACTCCACAACAAGTAGGGGCCAGCCCTGCCTAGCCCAGTGCGTCCTCCCCAGTGTCTGAAAAGCAGGGAAGGACAGGCTCGGGAAGCTTCGTCAATACACTAAGAACATTTTATTGGTTCTAGAAGGCAGTGGCACCGAAGAGGCTATGGGCAGTTGTGTTTTAGAAAATCATGCTTCTCGCTGTGATTGCAGAAGGCAAGACTGGCCCTCAGAAATCCCTCAGAGTAAGCAGGAGTGACGGGAGCCCGATGTGAGGCGACATCAGTGAGGTTCACGGGGCACAGGAGGATCTGAGTTTGCAGGAAGTGGTGATCCACGCGGTGCTGTGACTGAGGGCACCTAACGATGACTTCCTCGTTCTGACCTCACTCAGCGGCTGGCGAAAGCTGGAATGTGCACACGCTTTTATACTTCTACGTTTCCCTGTGGATCGACCACCAACTAACCTTTATTTTGCAATGTATTAGCAGTGCTACAAGAACACCTCGTATGTGGGAAGAGCAATGCACGCATGAATGAATGCAGCCAAAATCCTAATGGGCAATTCTGTGATCCAGTGAGCGCTGCTACGTACGACAGCAGCGGACAGCCTACATGTCTCACGCTCTACGCGCCGCGGTGGAAAACCAGAGGAAACTGCCTGGCCGGCTCCTGTCGGCCTTTTGTGCGACTAGGAAGCGGACAATAAAGTTAATTTGAGCGTCGACGTGCCCGGACGTGGCCCCGCCTCCTCACCCGGAGCTCCCATTGGTAGGCGCTTGCCGGCGGCCGCCGTTCTGAAGCTCCGATTGGCCAAGGCCGCCGTCACTCCGTAGCGTCGCCGCGCCCGCCCGCCCTCTCGCCGCGTCGCCGGTGCCTGCGCCGCCTGCTTCTCCTCGCTTCTCTTCTCCCGGCTGAGGCCCGGGGGACCAGAGCGAGAAGCGGGGACCATGTTCCGACGCAAGCTGACGGCTCTGGACTACCACAACCCTTCTGGCTTCAACTGCAAAGGTGAGGCGGCGGCCCGGGGCCGGCGGCGGTCCCTCCCCGAGCGTCCCCACCCTGCCTCCTCACCGGGACCCTCGGCGGCCTTGGCTGCCCCTGGGTGCCCCGGGGCCGCTCCCCGGGCTAAGGAGCCCCCTCTCCCGGCCCTGCCTCGGCGCCGACACTTTCTGCACTTGCTAAACTGCTGCCGCCACCCGGCCTTGGCACACCCAACGGGAGGCTTTCGTTGTTTTCTCACTTAAGCGGGGGTCGTTAGGCTGTACCTGGGGCACCTGCTGGGGGCCCGCGGCGCGCTGGGTTCTGGGGAGGGTGCAGAGGGGGTCACGGGCTGCAGCAGCCGAGCTCCAGGGGTGGGAGGCCCGGCCCAGGGAGCAGCCGCAGAGAGCAGGCGCTGAGGCCCGGGCGGGGCGGGGGGCGCGGGCTCGGGGGGTCGCACGGGGCGTGCACGGAAGTGAAGTAGCCCCTAAGCGGGCAGGCTGCGTCGCGAACACCGGAGTGTTGGGGGATGTTCCTGCGTTGAAGTCTTTACAAAGTCGTGTTCCTGCTGGCCTCCGAGAGGGACCCCCGAGTCCAGCTTGCGGCGCGGCGCTCAGAGCACCGCAGGCGGCCTGCTGAAACCGATTTCCGAGCCGACTACGTGCTGGTTTTTTCCGTCTTGCGTAGAAGCGTAGCAAACGGTAGTGGTGTGTTTTTCCACTTTGCCTTTTACTTAGTGGACAAGGGTCCGTGGCGCTGTAGCTCAAATGTGGGTGTGAACCTTTGCGCCCCAGTTTGCTCGTCTGTGAAATGGGGCTATTACCCGTATCATAAGGGTGTGTTGAAAGGGGGTGGGCTGAAATCGTGTGCGAGGTGCCCTTAATGTGGGAGTAACCTTCCGTGATACCTGCTGTCTTCCCTAAGTTTTGTCATTTGATCTGTTATTCCTTATTTCATTTTTCCTTATTAATTCTGTGGCAAAAATTAAGCCTTAAGTAGTCTCGTCTCCCCCTGAAAGGAACCGGAATATTAATAACATTAAAACAGCGCAGCTCTATGCTAGACACTTTGTTCGTCTTCACATAAGCTTCCCGGCGATGCCAGATACGTGCTAATATTATTAGCCCATGGAGTAGGTGGAAGACTCTGGAGCACAGAGACTATAGGTGGTGTCCCCAGATCCGCGTAACCATAGAACCCAGAATCTGAACCCAGGCCGGGACGGGAACAGATGATTGTTACTGTCTGGCTCCCGTCTGTACTTCCGACTCGTACTTCTGTCAGCTCCATGAACTTAGTATCTTGGGGTTGAGAAAAGTCCACGAGACTAGTTATCTGTGGAGGAGGAAGTGTTCTGGGGAATACGTGAAAGTATTCTGGTGAATATTTCTGGTGACTTGGTGACTTTTTGTTGCAGATGAAACAGAATTTAGAAACTTCATCGTTTGGCTTGAAGATCAGAAAATCAGACACTACAAGATTGAAGACAGAGGGAACTTAAGAAACATCCACAGCAGCGACTGGCCCAAGTTCTTTGAAAAGGTAACGAGTCAGGGAAGTAGAAGCAAAGCAGAGCTGCGTGGAAGCAAGCTTGCGATGACTCGTCCTTGGACAACAGTGATCGTCGTTGGAAACGCGGACTTCAGTGGTTCCAGTTTTTTTAACTGTGTTTCTTTTTTTTAAGATTTTATTTATTTATTTGAGAGGTAGAGTTATAGACAGAGACAGAAAGCTCTGTCATCCATTGTTTAAATGGCTCCAACGGCCAGAGCTGCGCCGATCCAAAGCCAGGAGCCTCCTCCTGGTCTCCCATGGGGTGCAGGGCCCAAGGACCTGGGCCATCCTCCACTGCACTCCCGGGCCACAGCAGAGAGCTGGACGAGAAGAGGAGCACCCGGGACTAGAACCTGGTGCTCATATAGGATGCCAGCGCTGCAGGTGGAGGCTTAACCTACTATGCCAGCGCACCGGCCCTGTCTGTGTTTCTTTTGATTCTAGAGAGAATGATATCCCTTCCTACCAAGCCTGAATACTACATAGAAATAGTTTCCTCTGGAAATATTGTGAAGCTTCTTAAACAGTGATATGTAGTCTTTGATTTAATGGCCAAAATCAGATTTTTTACATTACACTAAAAGTGCAGTAATAATACACTTTTTAAAAAAATTTGACAGGTAGAGTTATAGACAGTGAGACAGAGAGAAAGGCCTTCCATTGGTTCACTCCCCAAATGGCTGCTACGGCCGGAGTTACGCCAATCCGAAGCCAGAGCCAGGAGCTTTCTCCTGGTCTCCCATGCAGGTGCAGGGGCCCAAACACTTGGGCCATCCTCCACTGCACTCCCAGGCCACAGCAGAGAGCTGGACTGGAGGAGGAGCAGCCGGGACTAGAACCCGGCACCCATATGGGATGCTGGTGCCGCAGGTGGAAGATTAACCAAGTGAGCCACGGCGCCAGCCCCCAATACACTTTTACCAAATCTTTTGGAATAACAAAACATTATTGATAAACTTGAAAACTAAGACTGCCATGTTCATGCTTGTTTTTTGTTTTTTTAAGATTTCATTTATTTGAGAGGCAGAGTACAGAGAGAGAGAGACGAGATCTTCTGTTCCCTGGTTCACTTCCCAAATGGCTGCAATGGCCAGAGCTAGTCTGATACAAAGCCGGGAGCTGGGAGCTTCCTCTGGGTTGACCACATGGGTACAGGGGTCCAAGCAGTTGGGCCATCTTCCAGTACTTTCCCAGGTCACAGCAGAGAGCTGCATAGAAAAGGAGCAGCCAGGACACGAACAGGCGCCCATATGGGATACCAGCACCTCAGGCAGAGGTTTAGCCTACTATGCTGTGGTGCTGGCCATGCTTATTTTTAATGTACGCAGATGTCCGTTATGTGCAGTAGAAATAGTCCTAGGAAGGTCTGTGTGTATGTCATTTTTGTGGCTAAATTTTTTTTCCATTGACTTAGTTTAATATTGTGATATTTTAATAGAAATACTTGTTTTCAAAATAGAATAA